AGACAGACGTGTGTCAGTTGGTCTTGATGGACAGAGAGAGTAAATGAAAAGTTAGTAAAGCTGACTGTCATGTGACTAAAGTGAGGAGGGTTTTGTCAGAGTAACCTGGGGGACACACCACTTACTATTAACCAATTCTGTACATATTCAGAAGCATTAAAATCTAACCTCCCAGCCAGGTTACTGGAACAGAACCAGCTCCTGAAACCCACACCCAGAGTGTCAGTCACACCTTCCGCTGTGTTCCTCCGAAACAGAGGAGGCCCGTGAAGCCCTCCGTGTCGGTGCGATGGCACCTCGTGTGTGGCAGCCTGGAGCCCGTGAGCTCGGCCGTGTGGCCGTGGGGGGGGGCTGTGCAGGCGTGAGACCAAATGGCAAAACAACAGAGCCCATGCTGGAACCCGACCCGAAGGCGTACTGGGCTGCCGTGCAAACGCGCGAGTGTGCCTGTATGGTGTGCGTTTCTGGGTGTGTCTGCGCCGTCGCCCGTGTTACCTTCCTCGTGACCTGCCAGTAGGGGGCAGCACAATGGGAGGTGCTCTCGATGAGGGCCGACATGCGGTTGGAGCCACGATCGCAGGCCTGCCGGGGGCCGTGGGCGGGACAGAGATGGAGGCAGAGTGGAGAGAAAGGCATGGCACACAGACAGACACAGGGACTCTTAAACCCAGTCCTGGGCCCTGAGCCCGGACCGCAGGACGGCTACAGCCTGAAGCTAATGGGGTTTAGTGACATTCTGGGCTGGGGGGGGATGTATTTCATCATGAAACAGGAGGGTTGGACTGCGGGGCAGTTTTATCAGAACTGAGTTTAAGAGTCAAACATTCCTGGGTGGATGAGGCCTAGAAAGGAAGAGGAGGGGGAGAGCAGGAAAAGGTGACGAAGACACAAACAGGACCCCGAAACCCCAACCCACCCCCCGGGCCCTGCCCACCTGATCCACCCACAGCCCTGTTCCCCTACACTTCCAGTTGTAATTCTGTGAGTAACTCAATCTGTAGGCTTGGCTACCAGCAGCCAGAGGGCGGCATGTCCAAACCAAGATGCGACCTAAGCAAATTAAGCTGTTCCGAAGCAGGGAAAAAAAAAAAATTGAAGTAGAAGAATGAGGTGATTGGTGGACTGCAGGGAGAGAAGCAGGGCGATTGGTGGAACTGGAGAAGAGGAGCGAGGTGATTGGTGGACCACAGGAGGAGGAGGAGCCGATGGCTGAAGCACAAGCACCCACCGAACTGAACAGCACACGCACAAAAAACATAACCTCATGGATGCCAGCGCACACGGGCACACGGATGCAAGCAGCCTCTCGGGGGGCATGCCTGGAGGGGGGGAGCGTGCACCTGCTTCAGCTCGCAGCTGGACGTGGCGTTCCTGCGCAGCACCGCCCTGGAGCCCCCGGGCGCGTAAGCAGAGTTCACCCAGGAGTGAGAGCGATCGATACCCTGATCCCAGAATCACAGGCCGCAGGCGGAGTGGGTCAGGGGGCACCAGGGGGGTGGGGGACAGTTAGAGATGGAGGGACGGGGGAGGGGCACAGCACAGGCTTGTGAAATCAGACACCGACAGATGGCCACAGACACAAAAAGCTCATAAACAAACAGGAAGCAGCGCCCCCTGTGTTTGTCTGTCTACAAGCGGGAGGTACCTTCTCTGGGAGCAGAGCCCCGCGCTGAAGACTGTTACCCAAACAAACACACAGACCGCAGGCTTCAAGGCAGAGCCGTCACGCTGCCATTCCCACAGGAACGGCAGTGCCCATCGCCGTGGCAACAGCCGGCGATACACTACCCATTTGCACACAGATACCAACTCTACTTAAGGAGCGGCTGTGCGTTCTGCGTCTCCATGTATAAACAGAGCAGCACTGCAAACAGGAAGTGCCGGGCAGGACAAGACTGGCTGCACAGGAAGTGCCTCATGTGAATGTTTTAAGCACAAGGACTAGTCAGCAAAAAAATCAAGATTAAACTACAGGTCATTGCACTGAACTGGTCCAACGCTTCAGCAGACATCTGACAATTCAGGATATGCATTTATTAAAGAGGATATACAGTCCCTCCATATCAGCAGACCTACTGCGGATAGCTGAAAGCACAGTTAATGGCGAACCATCCGCAGGCCACATATATAACCTAACTTTCATGTATTTACATGTGATAGTTAAATTATGCACAGTAAGACACTGCCAACATTAAACACAGTAATAATGAAGCACATCGCACATTATATAGTACTGTGCTCTCAAATGAAAAGGATTCAGATGTTTTTGCCTAATTCTCGAGAGACAACAGACCAATGAAAAAATGTTATAAAATCAAGGGAAGACGGAGCAGTGAAAATCATGCTTTTCATACCCTTCGAAGGATGAAGGAACGACGACAAAACTCATCGCTACACAATTTACAAATTTTTTTTCAGATTGTGGTAAACTGCGGATACCTGAAACTGGATACAGAGGGACTACTCTATTCCTTTAACCAATGACACTGTAGTATTGCTTTAATGTCTTTAAGCACAGCGTAGGTAAGAGGTGCCAGGCATCAGGTATGCAAACAGGAAGTACACAAGAGTGGGGCCTTGAGGATGAGAATTCTGGGAGGACACAGGAAGAGGAGGTGCCTTGGGCATGCACAATCAGGAAGAACACAGGAAGAGGCGGTGCTTGGGCATGCACAATCAGGAAGAACACAGGAAGAGGCGGTGCTTGGGCATGCACAATCAGGAAGAAAACAGGAAGAGGCGGTGCTATAGGCGTGTACATCCAGAGAGGGGACTCAGGTGCCGTGAGAATGTTAAACCAGGAAGACCAAAGGAAGAGGCAGTGCTCTGAGAATATTAAATCAAGAAGTACAGAGAAGAGGTGGTACTTGGAGCATGTAGAAGCAGCGGAAAAGGAGAAAAGGCGGTAGATTATAAGAAATTCAGAAGGTTAGAAACTCGTGCCAAGGTGGGAAGCTGCAAAGCGAGCTCACCTTGTTCCCAATGATCCTCTGCACCTCCTCATCGGGCGAGGCAGGCGTGGTGGCCAGGTCCGGGTTGGAGTTACTGATGCTTTTGGAGCGAGACAGCTGCAGACTGCTGGGCCGGCCCGTCGCCCGGGACAGCGTGGCGTACTGGATGGGCATTTCGTAGGTGGGTCCACCTACTGCAACCATTTGCGCCATCAAAGGGACAGGAAATGTAGACACTTACATTTACATTTCTTTAGCAGATGCTTCTGAGGAGAATTTGGAGCCACAGAGCAGAATCAACTATCACCCTGCACCATCAAGGGCCTAGTGGTGATATGATACAGGATTCAAACCCATGACCTTCCAGATAAAGGAATGGATCTGTGACCTTGTCGACAAGCTTCTCTGCTGGACTCAGAGGGTGTCTGGGCTCAGGGTTGAGGTGTAATGGGTTTGGGGAGGGTGCTCACCGTTGGGGGGTGGGGCAGGATCACTGGTGGGCAGGTGGAAGCAGTAGTAGATGTAGGACGTCAGTAGGTTGTTGCGGCCGTGCTGGTCTTGGTTCCCCTCCAGGTTCTTGTGGATCTGATTCACCAGCAGGCCCATGGCCTCGAAAGCGGCACGGCCCAAGTTCACTGGGGGGGGGGTGAGGGGCGAGAGAGGGATGGAGAGAGGGGAGGAGTGAGAGACAGAGAGATGGGAAGATGAGGAAGGTGGAGAGAAGAAAAACAAAGAAGTGAGATGGAGGGAAAAAGAAAAAGATGGTGGCGAGAGAGTGAGAAAAAGAGAGGGAAGGAGTGCAAAAAGAGGGAGATAGAAAATGGAGCAAGGTAAGAGAGAGAGAGAGAGAGAGAAGGAGAGGGAGATCTCAAAAGTGTGGGAAAGCAGTCTCCTGCTCTCCGTGAGGCACTTTAATGAACCAGTGAAGGACGTCAGCAAAGACACAGCACCCCCTGCAGCTGTGGGGAGTCACTGCACTCAGACCTGTCAGAGAGGTACCGTGGGAACACCGTGAGAAGCCAGTCGTGCCAGTCACTGAGCCTCAATGACAGGAGAGGCGCCCAGCCGAGAGAAAAGGAAAATGCCCAAACACCCCCCAGCTCAGAACAGAGGACTAATTATAGTCTGGATTAAAGTGGCGGTGATGAAGGCTTGGTGGAGGGAGGGGGAGGGGGGGATGACTCACCGATCTGGCCGGCGATGATGGGCGGGTGCACAATCAGCAGGATGAGCTTGTTGAGCAGCTGGTGCAGGAAGCGGACGCAGGTGTCCAGCAGCGCCCCCCGCAGATGGGACATGCTGGCCTTCAGCTCCGCCTCCATGTTGGCCTCCGTGATGATGACGTCCTTCAGGCGGAAGGGGAACGAGTACTCCTCCAGCACGTAGACCAGCGTGAAGAACTTGTCGAGATATGGATCCTACAGGGGTCGCGGAGAGCGAGAGAGAGACACACACACACACGGTCACATTATTGCTATCAGCACTGACCCCTGGGGCTGTACCATCACCGTAACCCACAGGGGTGTACCATCACCGCTACCTCCAAGGGACGTACCATCACCGCTACCCCCCTGGGTGTGTCCTTTTCTTGCCTTACATACCTGTGTGTGGATGGACGATGCTGCTGTGACCTCCACGTTGAACACCCCTTTGTGATTGTCAACCCACTTCATGCCTGGGAGCTGCACCTGCAGCACAGACGCAAAGGGGTACAGACCGAGCAGCACAGACGCAAANGGGTACAGACCGAGCAGCACAGACGCAAAGGGGTACAGACCGAGCAGCACAGACGCAAAGGGGTGCAGACCGAGCAACACAGACACAAAGGGGTACAGACCGAGCAGCACAGACGCCCTTTAACCACCGACAAAATGACAGACGCTGATACCACAATAACCACAATCAATACTGACACGCATAAAAAAAATAGCCGGATGTCGAGGGAGGAGGGATAAGGGGATATGGAATGGAGCGGGGGTGCGGGGCTCACGTCGGGGGTGAGGACTGAGTAACTGGGTGGCGGCTTCTCCACGGAGACAGGGAGGCTGAAGGAGCCAGTGCGCAATCTGCCGTGCTGCATCAGGGGGATCCACTGCAGAGGAGGAGAGGGAGGTGCAGGGGGAGGTGCATCAAAAGTCAGCTGATCATCAGTAGGCACAATTAAAGTGGGGACGGGTTTACACAGAAATACACTCAAACTCTGCATGTCACTGTTATTAGGGGCTGAACAGCTACAGTGTGACAGAGGGAGGACACAGAGTGACAAGGGCAGTGTGTGTGTGTGTGTGTGTGTGTGAGATGTGGCAGGGCCTGGGGGTGCCACCTCACAATATAGCCCCCCCACTTCATCATGAAGGTCAACCCCCTCACCATGTAGCCCCACCCCCTCACCGTGTAGCCCCACCCCCTCACCGTGTAGCCCACCGGCGTCTCCAGCGGCGTGTTCTGTTTGGCCTGACAACTGATGTGGTAGAATGTGAACAGGAGATGTGGCAGGGCCTGGGGGTGCCACCTCACAATATAGCCCCCCCACTTCATCATGAAGGTCAACCCCCTCATCATGTAGCCCCACCCCCTCACCGTGTAGCCCACCGGCGTCTCCAGCGGCGTGTTCTGTTTGGCCTGACAACTGATGTGGTAGAATGTGAACAGCAGGTGGTGGTTGTCTGTCAGGTTGGCGGGAATCTTCATTTTGAACTCCTCATAAAACTCCGGTGACCTGGGGGGGGGGATTGGAGTACAACGGAAAGCAGGGGAGGGGCTGAGATGGAGAGACACTACGCAGGAACATTAACGTCCAACAACCATTAACTTTCGGGCTTCAATCGCTTCATTGTTACTATAGGTCAACATAATTAACGATGACATGAAACTGAAATGCGCGTGTGCAAGAACGCATTCGGCATGTAAAGCGATACACGCCGCAATTTCTTGTCTGTTATAAATATGCAGTCATGCACATCCCTGTCTATGTATTTCAGGTTTATTAATGTTATGCTTTATTCCTTTAACTGGCTGTTTTCCATGCGATGCATGAACACAAAACAGACGGACAGCAGGACGGCCGTGTGACGACAGGCTTGAATACTGGCCAGGGAGACGGGGGGGGGGAGGTTTGGAAGCAGATGGCCGCTCTCACTTGTTGTGGTAGATGACAGATGTGTAGGCCTCCTTGAAGAACTCGGCACAGCTGGACTTGCCAAAGATAACCTGGGATGGGGGTTAGGGCGGAAAGATCAGGGCCACTGCAGTCTCTGCCATAATCACATGAGCAGGAGGCCTTTGCGCTCATCTCTGCTGCAGCAAGAGACTCCCTGCCTGTCATCTCTACTGGAGACCACAGTCCAGCACTATATTACCAAACTTCTCAGAACAAAATCCTGGATATAGGCCTGAAGCTAAGAAACAAGAGTAAAATATAGTAAGACACAGAGCTAATGCGTTAATATTTTATCTGATTCACTTGTGTAAGTGGGTTCTATCCGAGGGTTCTAGCCAAGCATGTGATTGGTCACTCAGACAAGTACGGGGTTTAACCGAAGCATATGATTGGGCACTGAGACAAGTAGGGGATTTAACCGAAGCATATGATTGGGCATTCACACGAGTGGGGAGTTCTAGCAAACAATGCACTTACAGGCATGGCTTGGCTGGGATCCTCTCCTGCCATGAACTGCACCTTAACTGTAATGTTCCTCACCGAACCCTGGCGGCTGTTGAAGTTGAGGCTCTGCGGGTAAATATACAGGAGGTTCCTGACGGGGGGAGCAAAGGAGATGGAACAGCGTCAAACATTGAGGGCAACCCACGTATCAAACGTGCAATCCGGTAGCCCGAGAACGTGGTTCAACTAGGACCCCAATATCCGAACTGACGGCCCAAGACGATCCCAAACATTCTTGCCGTTTAACCCAGCAGGACCCGCTGAATTCCCTCTCGCTGTCCACGGAAAATCATTGCAACTCCTGCATGTTTGAGAGGATGTGCTCGAGTACGGCGCAAATTTGTCATGCGTGTCACCGTGTCCAAGGTTAAGCAAGAGGTCATCCTTAATTCAACAGAGCGGTCGACTGCAACAAACAACCGTCCCCCAAAGACACACAAGCTGACAAGTAGGAAGCAGGGAGAAGAACCCGGGGCGCGGTCATGGACGAGGTCGCCCTAATGGTCCCGATGCGGGCTAAAAATACACACCGCCATGCGCACGCCACTGGAGATCAAACATTGTTGAGCAACCCGTGCTGTCCAGACGTGTCCCGTTTGTTTGTGGGGCTGTGTACCACGGGTCAGGGTGATAACGAGGGACGAGAAGCCTCCCGATTGGCTGGCTGCTTGGCAAGCTAGCGGACGGGTGTAAACACACAATATAAGAGTCGTGGATGCATTCGCTCCCACAAGGAGACGGTCCAGGATATAGAAGTAGGAGTTCCCAATTCAAGAAAAGACTGGGACGAAATAAAATTAAGTCAAGAGAAAAGCAGTTTCTCTACTTTGAACTGAGACGAGGAGAAATCCTTGTGACCGTTCATCCCAGGCATGAAGGGATTGCTGCTTTTAGTGTCCGTGGCCTTATGGGTAAACGGGCCCTGGGCGACGCCCACCAATGAGACGGAGGAGAAGGTGGAGATGGCCTCCACGGACGACGTCAACGTGCTGATGTACGGGGTGCTGCAGTTCAGCGAAGTCCTCCACAGCACCTACTACAACACCGATAGCAAGCTCACCCGCATCGCCGACACCCTACAGCGGCAACAGGGGGCGCTGGAGCAACTGAAGGAGGTGGCGGAGGGAGCCGCACATACAGAAGAGCAGCTCAAACATGCCCTCGCCATGCTGCAGGTAGGGGGCGCTAGAGGGGGATAGGTCCCAGGTTTGGCCAGGTCTTGGTACATGCAAAATGTGGTGTTTGTGATTAGACAGCACAAGCGTGGCCAGATGCAACTAAACTGATGAGCAGATTACGGAATTGAAGTTTGTGCATTTGGGGGGGGGGGGCACATAATCATCATGAGATCAAAGAAAGTCTCTGTCTCATGGTGACAAAACGACTTCCTAGCCTTTTTTTGGCAACCGAGCAAAAAAGTGTGGGAAAGTTCTCTGGTTAGTTGTTCATCTTTTGGTAGCTTCCGGCACCAGTAGGACGGGTGGGGGGGCTAAGAGAGCCATGATGGAAGGGGGGGGTGGGGGTCAGTGGGCACAGGACAGTGGATCTGCCATGCGGATTGTCCCGCCCAGACGCAGACGGCTGGACTGCAGCTACGGGCGACAGAGCTGGGGGGGACGGTTAGCAAGGTGGAGCAGGAGGAGGTGGAACTCAGGAACCAGGTGACCACCCTGGAGTCGGCCCTGAAGAACTCGGCCCCCGGCAAAATCAGCACGCTGAAGGTACTGCCCCCAGACAACAGACGTGCAAACACACGTAGGCGTCCTGCTCACGGCCACTAACGGGACTGTCCACAGGAGCTAACGGTTCAGAACGCCGGTGTTCTGAAGGCCTTGGTGAAATGGATCCAGGACCACAGGAAAAGTCTGGAGGACCAGAACCAGCAGCTGACCAGCCTGCAGAGGATGATGCATGAGCCGGGTACCCCCCCACTCACCCTCATCAGTTGAAGTTGAAAGCTCCACCCTACACTGTTAGTCACTGTGGCCAGACACGCAGACAGACACGCACACAGACAGACACGCACACAGACAGACACGCACACAGACAGACAGACAGAGACACACACACACACGCAGACAGACACACTGTAACACTTTCCCAAGCCTCTTGATGAGAAACAGCAGGCGTTCCGTTCTGGAATCTTCAAACTTGAACTCTATTTGGGCTCAGTTTTAGAATAAATACGGAGCAAAAATGCATTTTTCATGTGTCTAAATATTTTGAAACAACAGTTAAGTACATTTTTTAAATTATGTATTTCAATACTAGACACTATCTCAAGTGTGATTTATGTTAGGCCTGTGTAATACCCAGACTAACCACCAGGTGGAATATATTATATGTATGCTGCAGTGGTTGGTGGGTGGCCCTGGGAAAATGAACGGAAATGGAATGTATACGTTTTATTTGTGATTTATGTGCATGTAATGCCAAATATCATTAGCCACACGTCATATTTTCTTGTTTATATAATACTTAAGATGACCTGTAGGTGGCTGTAAGGGTGGCATAAACATCACATGTACTGAGTGCAATACCCAGGTTCACCTGTAGGTGCTGTAGGGGGTGTAGACGTAGCGCGTGGGGAACTCCAGCACATCCTTGGTGGGCCGCACCCGCAGGTCTGGGTAAGGTTTGACGTGGAGCAGCTCTGGAGAGAGGCAGTAGTGAGGGACCTCTGGGGCTGGGGAGATGTCTATCTTCAGCTGTGCTGGAGGGGAGGAGGAGGAGGTGGAGGAGGATGAGAAGACGGGCAGGTCCCGCCGGGGGCAGGCGGAGCACGCGTCTGTGTGCGTCTGGGCCCTTGGATACCTGTGACTGGCCTCAGCCTGCGTAGGACAGAAGACGGTCTGCGCATGTCAGTCAGGAACTTGTAGAGGTCTTCATCACTAAGCCGGTCCCCTTCCTGTAACACACACACACACACACACACACACGCAGACACAAACACTTTAGGGACTTACCATAGGGTCCAAAAGCAAAAGCAATATGTTATAGACCGCATCAGATTTTCAGTTTCTGTTCTAGCTAATCTAGAACCATGAACTCACAGCATACAAGCACAAGGTACACAAATACTTTCACAGATATTTATAAATACTGGTGCTCCTGGACCAACAATGGGGTTAACATTCCAATAAACCCATCACAAGCACAAAAAAAATGCAAGTAAAATATGATCCCATAAATAAATAAGTAAACTACGGTCACTGAATGAGTAAACAACTACTGTAACTGAATATGAGTAATTGAAAAGCAAAGTGATGTCATCACCCGGCATCTGTAGAAAGTGCCGTACAGCACATCACCAGCCCAAAAACGCAGATTGAAATTCAAAGCCGACTGCTCCATGTGCATCGCTATGGCACCGTTGTGAAAGCTGAAATCGGGCCGTCTTAAAAGCAAGGAGCACCGGTGATATACACCCGGAATGAACACGAACAGACCTGCTTGAAGAAGTTGGTGACGGTGAGCGTCGCAGGACGGAAGGAGGTGAAGTTGCACATCTCCTCACCGACGCTCATGCGCTCCAAGCCCTTCTTCTTTCTCTCATTCCACGTGCCCTTCCTCTCTACCCCAGGACGGGAGGAGACGCCCTCATCGGTCAAGGCAAGCCACACACACACGCATTTGTGTTCATATCTTTGTGGGGACCTTCCGTTCATTTATACGGGCAAAACCCTGACCCCAACAATGACAACCCCTATCCAGCCCTAATCTTAACCATAAGTAATCAAACAAAATACAAGAACTTTATTTTTAGTGTTTTGGTTGCAGTCAACAAAAAAAAAAAAAAATTAAGAATTTCCTCTTGTGGGGATACAAAAAAATGGTCCATACAACGTCAAAACAACAGGTTTTTATGACATTGTGGGGACATTTGGTCCCCACAATGTGATGTAGATCTGGAACACACACACACACACCAGGGCCGACCCATGCCAGCATTACCTACCGGAGTCAGAGTCCGAGTCTGCTCGGTCCAGTCCGCCCACGCTGCTGACAATGTTGAGCAGGTGGATGGCGGTCCAGGCAAAGGGCATCCGGAACTTTCCGAGGCGAGAACACGACTGTTCGGCCTGCGCGCGCAGCTTCTCCAGCTTCTCCTTGTGCTGATGGTCATGCAGGCGGAGGGAGAAATAAGTGAAGAGAAAAAGGGATCTGAGAGTGAGAGAGGGGTTAGCAGGCCATTTGATGGTTTGAGATGCTGTAAGGAATGAGGCCTGGAACGTTAACTCAGGAGGAGCCCGGATACTACACTGTACTCTTAAATACTACACCGTACCCTTAAATACTAAACCGTAATCACTTCAGCTGCACAAGTGGATGTGAAAACCATTATAAATGCTTTTAGTATGTCAGCCAACTAACAGAATAAGAAAGATGAAGGAATTAATGTAATTAAGTAGCTCGTCACATCCCAGTCATTCAAAAAGTGCAGTAACGTCGACGGCTAGCTTGACAGAAAAGACTTGATTATAAATGTCCTGAGGTAACACGCTAATGACACGCTAATGACACGCTAATGACACGCTAATGACACGCTAATGACACGCTAATGACACGCTTTGGGGAATGGGGTTAAAGGCAGGGTCTCTGAAGCACCGCTGTCCGCAGTGCTGCCAGCTGTCTCATTATAACCCCAATCCGTCACTGATTATCCTTTGGCAACCACCCCCCCCCTTTCGAGTCCTGGGACATGGTTAATTTCTGGAGGGGGTGATTCAAGGGTACAAGAGAACAGGTCAACTGGCAGACGTCCCGCGCAAATGAGGCAAGCAGTGATTTTGTAACAGACACCAGGAACATGAGGCAATATCAGCTCCCCCCCCCCCCCGAAAGCCCTGCAGTCCACAGGAGCCAGACAACTGGACAGACTGGCTTCAGACTGGTTCCCAGTTCAGCCCGAAACCAACAAACTAGAAAACGAGGAGGGGCTAATGTGTCATATATAACCCCAGCAAAGTCAGCAAGCTTAATGAAATTAACTAATTCTGATTATCAGGCATAATTAAAAGTTGCCACGGCACTAAACCCAGCTACAGACAGCGATCTTCTTCCGCTGGCTGGGGGGGGGTAAGACTAAAACTCTAAAAATATACTAAAAGTGTGACTTATAAATAGGAAAGCAAAAGAGTCGGGGGGGTAATTTAAACAGCATCCAGGCCAAATTCATTATTAAGCATAATAGGTAAAAAAAAAAATACATATTTAATGAATTGTCCAGCTTTGGAGGCTATAATGGGAGGTAGAAATTTCATCATCCATTAATGTGACCCCCCCGGCTCCAAACCGGGTCATGCAGGGACAGGCACCCGATCTGTGCAGCGGAACTTGACTCAGCGCCCAGAGAAAACAACACAACCTGAAACTCGAAAGGTCAGAATTGGGAAATTACTGATATCAGCTCTGGCAGCTTCTGCAAGATGTACTCACTCTCCTGCTCACACTCACACACGCACACGGAATAAGCACAGCTGCTGCAGTACCAGTTCCCACCAACAGAGGGCATACCTTGGAAGAGTCCGACTCCTTCATGACCATGTATGGCTCACAACACTCTCCGATGTCCCCTTGCTGTAGCACCTTTTCCAGCTGCAACACAACAGACCCCCCCAAGGACACACATTCAGCAAGGGCTAAACGGAACAGTGGCAATCCCTGTTCTTGGCTGGAGAGGACACCCCCTAGTGGCCGCACCTTGATGACCAAGAAGATGTCCGGAGATGGGAAGGTTATAGAGAAGATGGCGGACCGGGCCAGGGTGGAGATGGCCATGTGCGGGGTGTGTGAGCGGAGGAGGCCTTTCATCTGATCCGAGTTCAGATCAAAGTGGAAATTTTCTGAAATCTGGAGGGAGGAGAGAGAGGCTCATAAATACTTATCCATAAACTGTCCTCAGACCTTCAAATCACATGTTATTTAAAAATTAACACTCTCTTTTGACCTCTTGGTTCTGTGCTGGTTTTACAGGTAGTGCAACATTAAAAATGCATAGAGATCAAAGAGAAAAACTGGCAAGCAGGATAGTTGTCCAGGTGCAGCGCCGGCCTGCCGCCGCACACCCTCACTCATGCGGGCACTGAGCCTGCTGCAGCGCCGGCCTGCCGCCGCGCACCCTCACTCATGCGGGCACTGAGCCTGCTGCAGCGCCGGCCTGCCGCCGCGCACCCTCACTCATGCGGGCACAGAGCCTGCTGCAGCGCCGGCCTGCCGCCGCGCACCCTCACTCATGCGGGCACAGAGCCTGCTCGTCCATGGCGACGAGTGACACCTTTTTCTTCTCTTTGGCGTCGTACAGAGCCAGGGTTCCGAAGATCGGCTCAATTTCGATTTCAAACCTGTGACGGCGAGACAGAAGGTATAGAACTGGTATAGAAATTAACGTATCACTAAGCCATTTTTTATGGGGGAGGACGTGTACAAGTCACATGGCAGTCATCCACACAGATCATGTGACCCCGTAGTTCCTCAGTTATCCTGAGACACACAAGGAACCCCCCCCACCCCCCGCAGATACCTACAGCTCTGTTTCCCAAGGTAACCTCACTCCTGACCGCACACCTTCAGATGCAAACCGGTACCATGATTCTTTTTTTAAATTTTATTTTACATCACTTAATGGCAGAGCACCTGGACTGTAGACACCTATCAACGCAAACCTTACAACCACCCCAGAAGGTGTAGACGTTCTGATGATATGTCTGAATCTTTCCAAAAGCTTTAATCAAACACGGGTTCAGAGCGCGGGGCCTTTTCCCCCGCCGTTACCATGGCGACCGCATGACGGCATCACCACCTACTTCAGTGACAGGCACTTCACCAAGATCCTCTGGCCCGTTTGCTCCTTGGGAACCTCCGGGATCGAGTTCCGCTCCACGGCTTCGTCCTGGAAGGAGATCATAGCGGGGGTGTGAGCACGGCCGCCAGGCAGGGGGGCGGTAGTGTCGCCGTGCTGACTGACAGACAGACACGCACCTCGTCGGGCGCCGTGAAGAGCCCCATCAGGTCGGGGTGGCGCCCCTGCTGGCGGGCCTCCGTATTGCGCCGGTCCATGTCCTCAGCCGCAGTGCGCTCCAACACCGAGGGCAGCAGCGAATCCGGCGAGGAGTTCTTCAGGTCAAAGATGCTGGAGGCCCAGCTGCCACGGGGGGTGTCGTCCAGCGACACAGAGCGGCGCTTTATGTCATCCTGGGGGTTGGGGGGGCTTTGCATATTAAACATGTTTATTCATCGAGGCCCTATTAAGTTAATTTTCACTATTAATAACTTTAATATTGGGGTCTACTAGAACAGATTTATATGCTTCAATGTTCCAAAAACATTATTTTTTTAATACTGTAATCTCTATTCACAGTCTATAACGCTCTCTGAAATGCTCTGTTACCGCTTTAAGCCCCACCCCCAATGAGTCCAGTGTACTCTGACTGGTTAGCTTGCCCTATACATTCCACTGTGCAGTCTGCAGACAGATCTACGCAATCTACGCGGCCAATAAGGATCGTGTTATGAGGTGACCTCACCATGTCACGGAAGTAAGGGCTGGAATTTCAATGAGGCGTTTCAGGCAGATTAGAGGAGAGTGCTTTTGGTAAGAGTTACTCCTTTTGGCAGGTACTTTGGACCTTAAGACTTTGCAGAGCATTTAAATGCACATAAAGCTATATAACACACTGAAACAAAGGGGAAAACCAGAAAAGCATATTACGGCACCATTAAATTGACAAAGTGTTAACAAGAATTGGGGTCTTATCTTCTTGCCTAAACCACCCCCCCAGAAAATTCGTTATCACGTAGGTGTGTACATGCTGAGTGTACTGGAATGAGACAATATACACCCTTCTTCTGTAAGCTGAGAAGATACCTGTCTTAGCTTAAAGAATTGGCAGGTATCTACAAGACCGATAAGCTCCATTAAGGGGGCGTGGGGTCACCCCCAGAACACGTCACACACAGGCTGCCAATGAGGAACGCCGCACAAGAATAGGCACCAAAAGCGGCCAGCAGGGGGCGTCTGCCATAAGAGCCAATGGCAGTGCGTCATTTTTCTGCATGACCTCTGACCCTTTCAGGCCATGGGCCTCTGAGCTGAGGCCTGTAGCTGTATTCTTTGTCGGGAGGTCCTTTAGGAAATGGTTGCGTGTAGAAAAAAAAACGATTCACCTAAAATCTCAACAGCGCGATATGCAAAGGTGTGTATTAAATCCGCCCCGCCGCTTCCAGCTACTGTGCAATAAAAACCGGACAGACAGGGATGTCGTCAGGGAAACAAAACACACGGTGTTTCCCCCGCCATTAAAAGTGATGCCTGAACTGGAACAATGAGTGCAGGGTGAAGCCGTGCATTTACGTGTGCGGGCAGAGTCCCGGAGGAATCCGGCACGCTCCATTCCCAGGCGGTACAGCCTCAAACCAGCTCCACTCATTCATATTTCAGTGCTGGTGTTCTGGTCCACTCAGAGCTCCCATGCATCCCTGAATTTATCTGTGCGTACACACCATGCATATGTGCTGGGGCGGCGTGCGGCCGAATGGGCTGGAAGACTGTGCCTCTGATCAGAAGGTCACCGGTTCAAATCCCTTGATCGTTGATGTTAGCGTTGGATCCCCGAGCAAAACCATTAACCCCAATCGCTCCAACTAGCTGTCCCTGCTTTCTCAATTATACGTCGCTTAGCATAAAAGCATCTGCTACACAAATTAATGTAAATACATTGATATTTATGTAGACATACATTTCTGTCTGCTCACACCTCAATGTTCACTTTTATTTATATCCAAATGTCTTCCATGTACTGCTCACTGACGGTCAGACACTGTCCCTGTCATCTTGTCCCCTTAATCTGACCTACACCAGTTCCGCATGTCATGACCCGATGTCATATATAACATTTCCACTGGCTTGACCCCCCACCTGTTTTATTCTGCAGCTACGAAATAACTAAATTTTTTTCTTTATTCCACCTTTGTGCATTTTACATCAGAGGATGCAGGCAAATCTCTAAACAACTGCAATACTTCACCAGACCTGTAGGAGGTGCACTGGTGTCAATGAAAATGTTCAATCACCGCCAACAACTGGCAACTGCTGCAACACTTTTGCCAGAAGGCACAGTATCGTTGATGACAGGGGCGGCAAGTGATACCTGGTCGTCATGGCGATCAGCACTGGCCACATCCAGCTCAAAGGTCTGTTTGACAAGCCCCCGCTGCCTCTCCCTGAGCCGCTCGGGGGTTTGGGCCCAGTGGGCTGTGCTCAGGTGCTGGTACCTGCATCAAGCCATCACCACCATCACTACTATCATCATCATCACCACCGTCATCATCATCATCAAGTGATGAAGGAGAGATGGAGTGAAGGAAGATGAAAAATGGGAGGGGGGGTGACAGAAAAACAGGGGGATGAAAGATGGATAAAGGAGAATGGGGGGGGTGGCACATAACTCACTTTCTCTGAATAATGAGCCAGTCGTCAGTGTAGACACCCAGGGCATCTCTAACGCGGGGGTCCAGGGTGCTGCAAGGGGAGATCAGCACAGCCTGAACCGGTGCGACAAACCAGACACCGGGGGGGGGGGGGGCGGAGATTCACAGCACCTCCCTCCACATGTTTTTTTTTTTTAAAACAGATGCAGAAACAATGGCACAAGATTAAGTCATTAAGCATATGTCTCACTGTACTGTTCCAGGTCAAGTCACTAGAGACTCCCCCCCCGCAGGGGACACTCACTCCTCCTCGGGCAGCGCCGGCTCCAGTGTCATGCACTCCCTCTCCTGCAGGCGGAGCTCCAGGTCATCGGGGGGAAACTCCATAAGCTGCCTAAGGGGGCCGGGCTCCGCCCCCAAGGCGTGGCTGCTGAGGAATTCCTCGAAGTCCACCGGCTCCACCACGTCCGACAGGGGCACCTGAGCAGCAGGCGGCCAGGTTCAGGGGCATGCGGGCAGGCGAAGATACACATGCACACAGATACAGACAGACACGCATGCAAACAAAGATGGACAGAGAAACACACACACAGATATGGACGGACGGACAGCCAGACAGAGACAGACAGACATCTATGGCAAGGTTTCTCAACCCAGTCCTCGGGGACCACCAGACGGTCCACGTTTTTGCTCTCTCCCAATTGGCAGGGAATTGGGAGAGAGCAAAAACATGGACCGTCTGGTGGTCCCCGAGGACCGAGTTGAGAAACCCTGACCTATGGTATGTAATGAGGCACACAGTTACACTTTATTGATCCTATTCTGGGACACATGCTTGCTACACATTTTTTTTGTATTCTGTCCCAAAGCTTTTTGGTTCCAAACACTGCCCCAGTGTTGTTGAGAGTTTGGTGGGGCGGGGGGCATAAAAACAGATGTACCCCTGGTACTAACGCCGGCTGACTGTCACGGACAGACCCTCAACCCCTCCTCCAGCTCACACACACACTTACAGGTTGGTGCAGCCCCGGGCGTTTCTTGGAGAGCTGAGGGGAGCCGTACTCTCGGGTAACCTGCTTCCTCACTTCAGCAGCCACAGTCCTGGGGGGGGAGTAGGGAGGTGGCACAAAAGCTCAGTGAAACCGACCCCATCATTTATGGGGCTGGGGATCAGCTTACATTAAATTTGGCCTCAGGAGGGACATGGACAGGGTCACGGCGGGGTGGATCAGGCATCGATTACGCATCGCCACAGGGACCGGAAGCAGGAAGAGTTTCGCCGCACGGGGAGCCCGGAACAGACATGGTACTACAGGGGAACCGTGACACGTCACGCCTGCGTGACAAGATCAGGGCTCGATACTGTCTTGGGTTACTTCAGGGTGGGTTCGCAAAAGGTCTGTGGGGAGGTGGGGCAGCCTTCACGTGTGAGGGCACCACAGTCACGATGTGATGCGGAACCAAGGCAGCGACAAAACTGCTCAGCGACGGCCTGATCGGCCACAGGTGGCGCTGTTCAGCGGCCACGAAAAGTTTTTTCGTGCTTTGTAACTGAGCAGAAAGAAACCGCATTACGAACACGAAGAGCAGACCAACTACATCGTGAGTACAAACCGTGGACGTAAAAAATGAATGTCTTATCACGTCGTGCAATTACGCTGCGCTGAAGACAAACGGAGGCTCAGTGCCTGACAGGATCAGACTGGAATGAGGCGCCACACACCCCCTCCTGTACAAACCCAGTGACACTGTCCAAATGGCTGCAGCTGCTGCCTCACACACACACGCACACAGCTGTCGTGGCTTTGGCCTCCAACATCGTCACACTGCCCTCATACAGGCAGACAGTCCAGCTCTCTGTCTGTTCGGCGGACGCATCCCCTGCAGTGCCCTCGTAACACTGGATATCTTTAGCCCCCCCCCCCCATGCTTCAAGCCAAACAGGAAAATGGACAGCTACAAACAATTCCCAAAGCACACACCCCCCACCACCACCACCCTTTCCTGTATCCTGTACCCAGACAATGGACAAGCCTTGAACAACATCTGAGGATGGGTGCGTACATGTTTGTGTGTAGGCAGGCGTCCCTAACCTGTGAACGGTCTCTCACTTTGTTTGCCGCAACGTTTCATGATTTTCTTTGTGCATTTGACAGAAGTTGACAGAGAGCTGACTCGCAAGGCAGTGTGTCCTCTACCGGCTGACCTGACCTGACCATTACCGACACAAAAACACATTAACTAAATATACACACACATCTCCACTTAGCAAATGGGGCGATGCCTAACAGGCAGCTTCCCACCCTAAACAGAAACAATACAGGTACAACGTAAGCGTGAATATTTACAGTATGAGGGAAATAAATCGAGACGCCCGCTGACCGAAAACATTACTGAGACCGAAACAGAACAGCAGCCGCAGCGAAAACAGCACTTCCACTTTAAAGATGATTTATTTTTATTATAGGGGAAGCGGGGTGCAAGGTGAGCTCAGAGTTGCAGAGCTTAAGGCGGCTGTGCAAACTTTCAGCTTCCCCCCCGGCCAGTGTCGCAGCGCCCGCACGCATCCACGCACAGCCGGCGGGGGGAGGCGGCCCGATTCTCCCGGGAAGACCCCTGGCTTCTCGCTAACCAGCTGCCTTAACTCTAACCTACTAACCAGTATCGACTTAACGCGACAGAGACGAGTGTCAGCCGGGCTCACAGGGGGGACGTCGCACCGCAAAGCAATGCAGAGACGGCCGGTTAAAAGAAACGGGACTAAAGTACTTCCAGGCATCCGGTTACTGCAAGCGCAGCTGATCCGGGACGCCGAGCACCCGGGCGGAACAAAGCCGACTTTCCTGCGCTGTCATGCCGGTACGTCGCGCAGGCGCCCGGGGCCATTCCCTCAGTTCACCTGCGCTGTGGCCAGGCGCGCCCAGTCCTACCTATTGATCTTGTGGGCAAAAGCCCTCCGTTCACTGGGAGCAGCCATCCCCACGCCGTCTTCGCTCCGACGCGCTCGTCCACACGATATCTCCCCCTCCGCTCCTTTCCCCCTTCTTTCTTTTTTTTTTCCGCACTGTATTATTGTCCTGCGAGTCTCGCCAGTTTCCCGGTGCTGTGCGTCCGCCAGGCGCTGCCACCTAGTGTCGAGGAGCCGAATAGCAGCACGCCGGCGCGCGGCTCGAGCTCGCGCGCCCCGCGCTCGCTCCAAATTCCCCACTCAACCTGTTTCATTTGGGTAAAAGCAACTCTGACTCATATGACGATTTAATTACCGCAAAGTTATTTCACCATGAAATTCATTTACAATGGCGCACTATAATAATAATAATTAGAAAACAAAATCACAACAAATAATGTGAATGCATATACACAAATACTAAAAATAACTTATGAATGTATGAAGCATATGTATGTACAGCTCATATCCTTTGTTCTACACACTAACATAGTACCTAAAACATTGGCATTATATGTTTCAATACTATGTGTTATATACGTATAACACTTTGATGAACTTACGTGCTATTTCTACTCTTTATAACTGAAAATATCGAGAGTAAGTAACTTAGGAAACAAAAAGCGTTTGCTGAAAAATCAAACCTTCCCAAACAACAGTGTTACTTAAACGGGAATAGAAACGGCAGGTGGCACCTGGACTTCTCATTGTATGAGAATGGAAATGGGTCAACCAATCGCCTCACAGCAGATCGTAGCATCAGCCAATCGCTTCCTCCCAAGGTCGGCGGCCAAGGGCAGAATTTCCGCAAGGTGTACGCGTGGAATGTGAATTGAATACCTAAAATGTGGTAAAACGTCAGATCACGGCAAAAGCATTAACAATCTTCTAAATATGAACAAATTACAGCGTATATTTGCCAGGATATAATAATTTACACCGATTGCGGAGTTGCCATTGCTCTCTATAAAACAAAGATAAAAGGAATGCAACGGGGCGTTGTTCACATTGAGAAAAACGCGGTAGGAGCTGGGTTTGTCTTCGGAATTACACTTCAGACGCTTCGTATATGAACCACTTTGCATGATACATTAACAGTTTAACATTTATGAAATAACTTAAAAAAAGTTCAGGTGTAGACAACATGTACACATACATACATACATATGTAAGAATGTGAACACATAATTAATAATTCATGACTAATCCATGTCTGATACCTGACACTATTGAATTAGTTAGGCCTGATTTTCTTAAGGAGTGTCTGCGTTGTGAGCGCATTTACGACAGTTGTTTTATATTTATGTCTCACATATCACTTTGCAACTATGTCCAAATGGGGACCACTGGATTTTTGTTTTGCATGATCGAGACAAATGATGTATTTGATCTTAAATTCTCCCAAGATAAAGACGTTTTCGTACGTATGGCTCTATTTATTCAGATAAGAAAAATCTGATTAAAAGCCCCACAACCCTAACCAGGATAAGTGGTTCAGATGACAGACGGATCCATCCGCTTAACATATGTATGGCTACAATATTTATACAAAAGATGATGCAGCTGACACGTACAGTAAAGATTACTTCGAAATATCTGTAATAAGCAGAATTAGAACTGAGTCTCATCCAATGTTTGAATTGCTGCTGTACCTGTTGCAGAATAGACACTGTTCAGTAAGGGGGAGCAGCGTGGCTCCATTTAGAGAATAGACGTTCCTCTTGTACTATAAAGCTCTTAATGCTTAGAGGTCCTTAACCCGCTTCGAAAATGGATGCCCAGGCTGAATGTAGTCTTGGACAAGGCCACTGCAGCCATACCATGATACGAATGAACGTAGTCTTTATTCTGCTGCGAATAAAACGGTGCCCATTGTTTTAAAACAAACTCAGACAGATAGTCCATTATATAAAACAGGTCAGTTTAGACAAGAAAATAATCATATGAAACCTGATATTGTCTACAGACGCAACCAACGCCAGCAAGCATTAAAATAGCTAACGCTGGACCAGTGCCCCACTCTCACAGACGATGTATGCGCATTCTGTTCATCTCGCTGTGCCAATTGGAAAACATTTGTTTTTATCCTCCAATTATGTTAGAATATGACTAAAACATCATCATGTTTACGTTAAATGAATAGTCAATCACTGCGTCTGTCGACATAATAAAGGCATTGGTTTACGGCATGATTTCCTAGGGGGCGCTAAAAGCGAACACACTGAATTCTGGGTGATTTTGAGGATTCGTCTAAGTGCTGAGTAAACGGTCTTTAAATGCGGTCGGTTCCGCTTTCCGGCCACCAGAGGGGGCTGTCCGCCATACGTGTTTGAAATAGAACCGCACCTTTTCAGATCAGCCTTTCCCTTTTCACGGCAAACGGTTATACTTTGCTTGAGCACATGCGTCCGGTTCCGCCCCCACCCGAGCGTGTGACCGAGCTAAAAGCACTTCGACCCTAAATAAAGACATGGAATCGAAAAGAAAATCAGCGATAGAAAATGGCTGCTTCGCTCTTAAGACACACCGACCTTGTTATAACAGATAAGTCTCTTCCCTGCCTCTTCTAAATTATTCAGAAAGGGCAAAGACAGAGGTAAGCGACTCGCTCCCCTCTGGGTCCTCTGAACCGCTGCTCAATCTCGCTCCCTCACTCGCTCTCCCTTTATCGACCCGAATGTCTGAGAGCCAGGAAGTGCTTGTCAATTTTACTGTAAAGACTGCGAATCCTGACCCCCCCCCGCAACCCCTCCCATCTGCCTCTCTCAGCGAAGTACTCGCATTACAGAGAGCAGCTGTAGACACATTTATTACCACAGAAAACTGCTGCAGGTAGTGCAACCACCCCCGCCCCCCTGCACCCCCGGTTCCACCCCAGCCCCTCTGTTCAGCACCATGGAGAGCTGACTGGGAGTAGCCTCACCCAGCCCCCCCCCCATCGCCCCACAACATCCATCCCCAGCACCTTTTCAGCACCACAGAGAGCTATTGGAGCCAGACTCCACTCAGACTCACATAAAAAGCACATTTCAGTTACTCTGCTCCTTATTTTGAATGAATTCAACAGCGGACTTGAAATCAATCCATTTAGGATGTCAATTAGGGTCAATGAAAAAAAAAACTAATTAAAGAATTAAGGGGGATTTCCTGGTTGGAGAGACTCTTGCTGTGGCCAAGTGCAGATAGAGGCTTTTAATGCATGTGGGTGAGTCCAACGTAGCCATCCATGCTAATGCTAACTGTGAACATCAGTCTGACCACTACATAATACATATTACTGGTAGACATAAACTTTCATTGTAAATTCTGATATACACTATTGTGCAATATATACCTACATTCTCTAAATGGCCTTAAAATGAATGATATATTGTGTGTTGTCAGATGCATTAAGACACACACACACACACACACAAATATATATATATATATATCCAAGAGGTACAGGATGGCTTGATGTAGTGACTGTGTTACATTTTCGATCTCAGGATGTAAAAAGTTCTCCCTTACAGCAGCCTTTGAGGGTCAAATGTGCCATATTTTTGTGTAAAGGCGCAAGGAAGACATGTGTTAAGAGCCTTCAGTGGTTACTTCGAGATGCAGTGGAAGCCAAGAACAAAGAATAGTTTGCCCCCACTAAGTCTTGACAGGTGTCCGTCAGCAAGAAGGCGAAGAGTGTTGAGTCACTGGTCAGGATGTTTTGAGGATTTGGGTGGTGGTGGGAGAGCCAGTGTGTAGACCCACCAAATGCTCCACGTAACATCCGATAAATCTCAGACTGGAATGGCATGCTGACAGCACTTATAGTGAACTGGAAACTAGTGACTCTGAAAAAGGCCTTGCAGGAGAGTGAAATGATCTGTGATCACATCAGCTCTGGGGTTAACTTACATCTTCTCTTCCCGCTAGAGTGGAAGGAGACATGGACCCCAAGGTATACTGGTGCATTTCGGGCATAAACCTTCTGCTGTGGATGAAGGCTCTAGTGCCACAGAAAAGACATCCTGAAATGGGAACTTGGGGCAGAGATTCAGAATTTTGGGGAGGTGTGTCCAGACTCACGGGCTGATAATGAAGGTAACAGTCGTGATCGTGGTCTTGTTCTGAGAAGTGACATTCCATTTACACCACCGTACTTTTCATCTTTCGTCTCTTTCATCAAAATCCCTGCCCCCCCCCCTCCATTATGAGGCAGGGAAGAAAAAAAGAGTTTGTGCACCCCCCCCCTCCGCCACCCCCTCAGATTACTGAAGAACAAACAAGGGGGTGTCTCTGTGGCCCTTTCTGCAGCCCCCCCCCCTGTACTCCCAGATGGGAGTGTTTTATTTCTGGGTGTTGGGTCCTTTCCCCTGCCCCCACCCCCATTTAGAACATGGTTGAATGGGGAGGCCTCAACCCCCCCCCCCCCCTTTTTCCTTTTACCCTACCCCCACCCCCCCGCCCGCCCCCCAAGCTGCTCAGCTGCCCGTCGCCCACCTGCTCTCCCGGCACGTGCCCCTGCCAAAAACACGCCCCCCCCCCCAGCCTCCCCCTCCCCACTCAATCAAGGAGTCCCATTAAACACATTACAGCCCCTCACAATGGGTACAGGCACAATGGGCTCCGTCCCACAAAGATTCTGTGCGGGACGGCCGAGCGTTTCCCCTTAGTGATGACGGAGGAGCGAAACTCTGATTTACAGCCACACACACACGGCACTAAAACTCCAGTGATTTGGCAAGACTGCAAATGAATGTAAATCAGTTTGTCAGGAGACATGGCCAGCGGTATGGTTACAGTATAGTGCTCTTAGATCAAATTTCAGATTAAAAACAGTGATTTTCAGTGAGCGGTGCTTCACAGCAGCTGCTGACTGCAGGTATTATAAGGGTCTTTTCAAAATGCAGTGCCATAAAGCCATAAAATGCACCACAAACACAGACATTTGTGGCCACAGCCAATCAGCTCTATGAACCTGGGGGGGTATTGACACACTGCTTCTTCAGGAAAACATATTTCTTGAGCTGTAACCCCCCCTCCAGGGAGGAGGTAGAGGATGATGAGATCCCTCAGAGGAAGAGCATTAGGCCTTTTTACAAGTCCCAGCTGCATCTGTCACCGACCAGCTGTGGGGCTGTGAATGGAGGTTATCTGCCCAGTGAGTTGTGGGTTTGTGGGCGGGGCTAATACCTGCTAAGCTGTAGCAGCCTCCCCCAGAATCCCTCTTTATGGCACCTTCCTTCATCCTGCCTTGAAATGGCAACTGCGGTGGGTGTACAGATAGGATTATCTTTTTGTGTTTGTGAGAGGGGTCAGGGGGCATGACTCTGTGTGTGTGTGTGTGTGTGTGTGTGGCATAGAGGGGGGTGGGAGAGAGAAACCACTCCAGTTTCCCTCTGAGATGCAGATAGCACTCTCCAGTGCCCCCACCCCCTCCAACTCCCCTCCTTCCGGTGGGGAATGCACTCTCCCTCAGACGTGAGGGTGCGGGAAGCCGGATCAATGGAGAAGAAAGAGGAGCTACTCCCTGGGATTGGGGGTGGAGGGGGGGTGACGGCCGCCCACATCTGTCGGCTAGGACAAGTCATCTGCTGGAAAAGAGCACTGCGCCGCACCATCTGTCACGCCGAAGCCGCCACTGCCGCCACTGCGCAGGGAAGCGCCAAGGCACGGCTCAGGAGGAGGCCGCTCCGGCACCGCTTTTCCCCAGCGGTGAGGCGTGGGCCTGGCGCTGGGAAACAAAAGCATCCCCGGGCAGGTCTGGGGGGCCCGTTTTGTCTGGCGAGGCAGCCAGACCTTCCAGGGGCGTCTCTCTCTCTCTCTCTCTCTCTCTCTGTTGCCTGGAAGCCCACTGGAGACTCCGCTGGCTTAGAGACAGCAGCACCACGCAAACATACACCCCCCCCCACGCTGCAGGCACCCCCCATCCCCCGCAACGCCGTGTCCCCCCACCCCCCCCACATCACTCCCAGTTTCGTCGCCGGCTGTGTCCCTGCACCTGCCTTCCCGCCTCCTCGCAGGTTAAGTGGTCCCAGCCATTAAACTTTAATTCTGGTCCAGCATTCAGACAGACTAATGCGATATTGATTTCCGTTCTATGATTATTGCGGGGAGATTTGGGTAGGGAGTGTGTGGATTCGGGCATGGGGGGTGGTGGAGGGATGGAGAATAGAAAGATGGTAAGAGAGATGGAGAGATAGGTGGGTGACAGAGTGGGGGGGGGGGAATGTAAACAGATGAGAGAAGGGAGATGCTAAATTTATATCAATAGCCTCTCTCTGTTTCTGGTGCTGCTCCTTAACCAAACACGCACATGCTTGTACATACATGACGAAAACACGCCCTGACACTTCAGAGGAAACGGCTGCCACCCCCGCCCCCCCACCACTGCTGCCACATGTCATTGAAGACACCCAACTTTTATGAGCTGTTCAGCAGGTTCTCCCGAAGAGACACGTGCTAAGCCTGGATTCAGGCTCATGGGCTCATGGCACCAGGCCGCCGGAGTCAGGAGATCTTCACTGGGCTACAAAGACCGGAGTCAGCAGCAAACGGCATTTTTTTATAAGAACCTGAGAACGTCAAGAATATCTTCGATGAGGGGCCTGGATAGTCCATCCATGAATGGAAATAAATTTAATTTAGTGCTGACAGCGATGAAGATGAATGCCTCAACAACACAAGTATGAAATGTCCGCAAGTGCCCAATACCTTACCTAAATTGGTCCACAGCAAGTTTCCTTAAACTCTGAAATTTTTCATTCGCTTTTCTGTCTGAAATACTCGTATCCATCCAGAGTGTCCCCTTCCTCGTATTCCTTGTCTTGGAGAAGCAGAATGGAACATGGATAGTTGTACTGTTGACACTCTGGCCTTGCGTGAATCTCTAGGAAAAAAAAGATGCATCGGGAAAAAGCAAATAAAATGTAAACGGGAAAACTTAGTGTTTCCCTCACTTACCCACAATCCACCGGGGCTGTCTGCCCTGTACTTGTGCTCTTACAGATTTGGTCTCGACTATATATATTATAAGATACTGGTAGCGCTTCCTTACCATTGTCATGTGACCTGTTTTTTTTTTTACATTAGAAAAAAGGAGGAATTGTGTGAAAAGTAAGAGGGAACCTCATACCCGGGGAACATGGATTCCCCTGAGGACACCTGCCTGCAGGACGGCGCGGAGCAGCGCGGAGACCTGCTCGCGACGTTCTGCTCTATCTTGGGAAAATAGAACAGAACCTGCATAAATATCCATAGATCAGCTCCTCGGATCTGCTTTATGGTGTGAGCTCGCTCACGGGAATGATTGACAGGGGACTGTGTCCCAGTTTATACTCTCAGAACGCCGAGCCAGCATGAAAACATCTCCCTTTACATTAAATGCCCTTTGAATTTCCCTTAATAAATAAAAAAAAAACAAGCCACGCAGCTCCAGGATAATGGCCAGAAGCGATGCGGACGACCACCACGGTGACGAAGGCGATTAATATTCACCTCACGACCGGCACCAGCTGATCGAATCGCCCTCTTGTTACGGGGCTTGACAAGCCACCTTGTCGGCGATAAAAAGTGTCCATGGAGGGTGGCCTAAGGACGCCCTTAACGAGGCTCACCACAAAGCACCCTCGTTAAGGCCCTGGAGAGTGTCCCGGCCAGCGCTGTCTGACAGACCTACGCTCCCTTTGTGTCCACGAGAGCCATGTTTATTCACGAAACAAAGAGGACGTAGCAGCGGCGGCAACTAATGTCGCTATTAACGCAATTAGGCGGGTGCGTCGATGCCCCGGCGTGTCTGGGACACAGGCTCACACAGGTGGAGTCTGAAATTTGGCGGAGCTGGGTGGGGTCAGCATGCAGATGGAGAGACGGGTCAGAGGAGGTGTGTATCTCCAGGGGGGGTTCGTAAGTGTGCGCGGAGGGGTGGGAGGGATTCTCGAGAAAGAAGGCTTCCATCCCGCACACCAGAGTGCTGGTTCCATCGTCCATCCCCTTATTAGTGCCTAACAAGTGCTTCCCTCATGAAATATTCATCTTTAGCAGAGCCCAGTCGAGCACCACACTGAGCTGGGTACTTATGTAAGGCAATTATGTAAAGTATCAGACGAACAGAGGCTCCGGACGAGCCGCGAGCCTCCGACCAGGCGGCGCTGGGCGAGTATAAACAAACAAAAATGCGGGGCTGGTGGCAAAACGGGAAAAAGGAGAGATGAAACGGTAGGGTGTGGGAGCCTGGAGACAGAGCCTGGAGACAGCGGCTTTGAGTCTCTCCTCTATGGGGTCTCCGTGAAGGATGGTCCCACGGCACAGGAAACCCAGGCCGGAAGCCGGAAGGGATTTCGTCGGCCGACCTTTCAGCCCCGCACCTGTCGCCCGACCCCACGTGAAGAGGCGCCTGCGGCATTGCTGGCTCTCAGTGGAGGTTAAACGTCCTGCGGTGCTTGACGAAAGAGCGGGAGATTCAACCTCAACGACCTGCCCTGTGTCCCAGCCAGGCCACGTATGAAAAATCAAGGCTATCCTATCACCTACCACGATATTAATTAGCCATATAGCAGATAAATTAGTGGTAGTTAACGTAGGCCTCTCCCATGAATAATATAAAGTGTTCTGAAGTTGATAAAAATTACTGTAATTAGTAATTGGTGACTTATAATTATAGTCCTGAATTACTCAAGAAGATTACCCAGCAGGACCTTGGTCAACGTTTCTACCGCCGATCTCCCCACTAGTTAAACGAGTCTGTTTGCTTAATCTTAACACTATCAGGTGGTGTATAATACTGACCTATTTTTAATGTTATTATTACGGTAGTACTGTGGCCACCGGAACATCGGTTGATGACGGATCTGCTTATGGAGGCAGAGACAGATACGCGCCATGACGTTCCGGCCATGACTTTCCGGCCATGACGTTCCTAGTAAATCTTCCACGATGAAGACGTGTAGACTTTCTCGGCGAAAACGGGCCGCCCTCTCCAGGGGCCTAGAGCGCGTTCCCTCGCTGCGGAGCCCGACTCTGAACGCTAACAGACTTCCTCGCAGCGGACACCTTTCCGCCGAAACCGCCACCTGTCTGTGAGCCCCTCCCACTCACAGAGGTCCTGTCAGGTGGTGGCCACGCCCCCGTGTGCTTCACTAGCTCCGCCCCCTTCCCTCAAGGTCAGCACCACTACCGGAGGGTCTCAGCAGAAATAGGTCATCTGTCACACGCCTTCCCTCGGGGTTTGGGGGGGACGGGGGACGGGTGCATCTTACAGAACACAGAGGAATCACGGCAAGGATGAAGGAGCAATGACAGAATATCAGAAAAACACGTACCACCTTAAGAACGCCCAGCCAGCCCCAGCTGGTTCATCTTCTATTGATTTTGTCCATGACACGTCGGGGTCTTTTAGCGAGCGGAAAAAAGGCCTGTCTGGAAAAAAAAGGGAAACACCCGCCCAATGCAGTCGGACGTAAACATTTCAGCGGCGCTCTGAGCAGAAACGCTCACCTCATACTACGCCGAGACAGCCACCCACTCCAGAAAGAGAAAAGGATCGGAACAATGGCCCACCCACCCCCCTTTCCTCTGCTCTCCCTCCATTCCTCGCCCCCTTCCCAACTCATCGAGAGGATCCGTCACACGCTCCTCGGACCGGCGACTGGGCTGTCCGCCTCGATCGGATGGGCACGAAAAACTGTCTGAGAGTCTTGACACAGTCCTATGCATCCCTCCTTTTTTTGTTGTCGATATTTTATATATATGTTTTGTTTTTACGGTGACGAATAACCAAAGGGTACCCTTTGTGAGGCTGGGGGGGGGGGGGGGGGGGGGGTTGGGGGGGTGCGGGGGCGGCAGGGATGCAGAGAGAGGCTTGGGGCTCTGCACGTCCTGAAGGGGAGAGGACTACACCGCAAAGGCTGCCCCCACCGCTACTCCCCTCCCTGCACAAATTAGCCAATCAGCGCCACTCTCTGCCAGCCGGAGGAGCTCATAAAGGAAGAACATTGCATTGCAGGCACTGAGGAGAGTGCAAGAGAAGCTGGGAATTACACACTGAGCACAAGAACCTCCACACAAGGCTCTGGACACACCCTGCTGGGGGAACACGTCTTCTCTTTTTTTTTTTCCTTTTTTTTTTTTTTTTTTTTAACGAAACATCGCCCACGCTGCTCCGAGAGAAATCTCTCCTTCATTATCATCTCCAAACCTCCTCTCCTCGCCTTCGCCCCGCTGAGGGCTGACACCCCTTGAGAGAGAATTTGTTTTTTTTTCTGTTTTAATTTGGAGATTCTGTCGTCATCCTCCTTTTTTTGCACCGTTCACCTTGTAAGTTGCAAAAAAAAAAAAAAATCAAATCAAAACAAACAAACAAACAAACAAACAAAAAGACTACATACACCGAAAAATCCAACACAAGGATTCAAGACCTACCAATTGAAGGACCTAGATCTCAACCATCTTTGTACATCAAGAATGGTCACTGTGCGTATATCTTTTTCCTTCTTTTTTCTATGTGGGATACGAAATGCCAGCAGATCTATATCCTATATATTTACAAGGCTGCAGTTAATACATACCTATGAACAACAGATAAGAGTGTTGGTTGGTTGTTTGATTTTTAACTGTTGATTTATTTCATTGATTGTGCATTTACATAGATAGTGTGTATATTCTGTGGTATGCATAGTCTATGTTGATACAATAAGCCTCAGCTTGCATGGATATCTGGCTAATCGACATTGTTGATCAGATTAGCGTGCAGTCTGGAGAATTAGTAATGTGATATGTGGCGATGCAGCTGCCGTCCTGCGCGCCGCATTCGTGTACGCCTTCGCCGCTTTCTGTGGAGGATTTAAACTCCTTCCCTCCCTCTTTCCGGACACTGTACACTGACCTAGAACTACGACGGATTTTTGATTCGCTTTGATTTTAGAAACTTTTTTCCTTAACCCCGAAAACGCACTGCGTTTACTGTCTGAACGCAGCTTACGGAAGGTTAAGCGGTGCGGGGAATAAAAGGTGTCAGTGTTGAAATGTGAAAAGGGAGAAAAAACCGAGGAGGGGGGAGGGAGTGGAGGGAGGAGAGCAGGGGAGGGGTAACGGACCGAGGCCGCATGCTGTCGAGCAGCTATGGGGGAGGACTGGACTGCCTTTCACCGCGTCGTGGTTATGAAGGATGCTCTAGACGGATCTCGGAGACAAAACATGATGGCTCGGAGAAAAGCCCGTTGAGAGCAAGCCAGAGAAAAGGGTCGAGTCACTAGGAGGGAGGGAGGGAGGTGGGGGGAGGTAGAGAAAAAGAAAGCGAGAGTGCGTGAGTGTGACGGAGGGAGAGAGAGAGATGGGGAGGGAGAGAGGGAGAGAGATTACGCATCTATTGGTTTGGATTGAATCAGGCAAGTCAGAATTCCTGAGGGCTCTCGTTGCGACGCAACCAGGGAAATGGAGTGGAAATTTCAGGGATCGCCGTGTTTACGGCCGTGTCCTTCCCCGTGCGCACATGTACGAGCCCCGCAGAAAACGCGAGAGGCGGCCTCAAAGCGGGCGTCTCGGAGCCCCGTGTTACCGTCACCGTCAAAAGCGAAGGGGAGGGGGAGCATTGTGTGCTCCTTGAGTGGGTGTGTCCACGCAGAGCCCACCACCACCAACATTTTTCTCGAATATAACAATGCAGGGCGCGGTCCGCCGATGCCTCCCCTAATCATACATGCAAGGAAAGTAACGCAGGTTGATATACACCCTGCCGGAGAACCTATGGAGCGTTAGGATTCGTATAAGAGTCGTATAAACTCCCCGTTTTCTTATGGCAAAATATCCATCATCACGTGTACAATGCTACATAAAAGAGATAACCGAATAGATCCAATTTATTAATCATTTTTTCAGCACGCATCCGTATTATATTAAATATAACAATGAAACGCAGGTGCAAAACAGCTATTATTGTATACTGCATGAGTTCGAATGGCAAATAACCGGATATCTCTATATATTAATAGGATTTATTTCATTGACTTCCTTATTATGTAGCCTACCTGATGTTGTATTTAAACACGACTGGGTTTTCTGTTGAGTTGACCGACCTTCCTTCCAAAGTATGACTTAACACCATTTTCAAGGACATTGCTACTGTTTACAAAACCACTGCAGTTGCAGCTTTCGGCAAAAAAAAAAATCACAGTAATGACAAAATACGTATTAACACAGGGCAGGATTCGCGCGCGTACGAAGTGGATCGGCTAAATAAAAATAATTTTGAATATCCGCCGTAATTTTTGACAAAGGGGTTGTGGAGATTGAATCGGAACGTGTGTTTAAATGCACGTTAAGGACAGTGAAATATCCCAAATGAGGAAAAACGTGTAGACACAGAAAGGTACGGGAAATGCCGCTCGGCAGGCTGGGCAGTGGGCAGCAGGCCTCTCGGTTCCGCAATCCGCCGCAAGCACACCCTGCACCCTACAAAGCGTTGAGTCACATAACTGTCCCCTTGCGTAGCTTGCTTAATTTAAGGACAAGGACATCGAGAGCATTGCATATTGTACGGTATATTGCAAGCATGTTAACTTCCAATGCTATGCTACTGATAAACAATACAGGCCTAAATTTATTAACCGGATGGGGATTTGAGGGTGAATTATCTACTGATTATTTACTTATACTTTGAAAAACGTATCATAGAGAAAAAAGTAGACGATAGGATATCGCAAAAACTTGCACGATTACCTAGCTTTGAATATATTTATTACTGCATAGTGCTTGGGGGGAAATCGTAGCTGTACCCTATAATAAACAGAACAGAGTCGCTTATTTGAAATTGTTTCAATACGTTTGCGGAATAATAAGGTAAAACATATTTAATCAAGGTGTAGCGGGACAGAATTAGACCTCGTCTCCCCCAAGGCTACACTTTATCAGTTTTTTCTTTTCACTAAAGGACCACGTCGTGTGAATTACTACTGCTGTAATTACGACGGCGATGACGATGGTTACTATTGTGGCATAAGGGAGCGCTGGCGACTGTGATGCTCATTGTTCTCCGAAAGTCCCGTAGCCTCCTGCCTGGACACAAAGCGCTACTGTTGACATTAATATTCATAATGCAGGCATAGTCTCCGAGCGCCCGAAACAGAAGGAACGGGTGGCTCTTTTGTTTGCTTGTGTCAATCCCTTTATTCAGCAATAAAAAAAAAACACGCCCGGCATTACAGACGCATATACTGCCGACATTTATTAAAAGTGTATGCTTACAAATACGTTTTAAAGAACAATCTAGCGTCGGCGGATAAGGAATTAACTTATCGTATGTCACAATTTGTTATAAAAACACTGATGCTAAATGGCTAACGCGCATGTTATATAATGGCCGAAGCCATGTCTGCATGCGGTGCCGCTGTTAACTTCAGCACTACGGATAGCACCCGGCCTTGCGCGTCCCTAACCTTACTTATTTTAGCCGCTTTCATCGTTTGGTTTTATTTTTCTGCAACTGTCAGTCACACGCTCAGCTGCCATACCAATAAAATTACACGTTATGCTTCAGATGTATAGGGCCTAGGCTATATTATTACGATTTGAAATATGCTGTATAAATACGATTATTATTATTATTATTTTTATTATTACTCATAACAATAGCCATATAATGTCATTACAAAGGCAGATTAGTATTGACTGGCCTGTTGTGTCTTTAACTGTGAAAAATGTTTGGTGTCGCGCTAATTCCCAGCGCTGGGGGTGCGATCAGCGACAGCTTTGGTTCCAGGCTGATCTCTCATATACAGGGGGAGCGGGGCTGAATCCTTCAACGGGGGGGGCTTATCCTGTAATCAGCGAGTTTTAGCAGCCACTTTGATCACATTTGTTTTAAGATAGCTGAAGGATCGCCTGGCGTTGCGCGTCACTGGAGGCAAAACAATGACGGGGAATCAGAGCCAGGAGCAGCTGCATAGCCGAGGTCTGCGCAGCGAGGCCGGGACCGCAGCCCGCTACCGACCAGTCGCTACATTTGGGGAAGCATTGTTCCACCTGGTGGCTGGTTAATATCTGGAAAATTGTGTAATTTAAAAACAACGGAGAAATGCTGAAAAATAAAGCTTCACATCGTAGAACTAATTAACTGCCCCCGTCACTAATATACATCGACAGTTTAAATTTATCGTCTTTATTAAGAACCGCCTTACGAGCACGCCACCTAGTGCCCACAGACTTAATCAGAAGCCAGAAACCAGCATCACAGTATCAATTAGCTGTAAACTGAATTTAAGATTTATTTATTTATTTTTACTTGAAATCTACATTCACTGGGCTGTTACCAGAAATTTCAGGTAATTACAAGCAGCTTAATGATGTTCACAGTGCTGAGAAGAGGAATCCGGCTATAAACAGCTACAAACAGCAGCCTTGAAACAGCAAAGTGATCCCAGAACAGTTTTGCTTTTTCGTCTGCCGAGCTGCCAAACATCATCTGTCCCCCGAACCCTTTTTGCATCGCCTTGCTGACATGGTGGAAACGCATAGGGGCAGGAGAACAGCATCCAAATTAAGAACAAGGACAGGAGCACGAGAAAGAAAAGGCAATATTACACAAGAAGATGTCAAAACAATTACACTACAAATTAATGTTTTTCATTTATTACTTGGCTGACCCCAAACCTCATCCAGAAACAGCCTGTAATTTTTGGCTATTCACATAGCTTAACATTATACTGGAAAAAATCATATTGTCCACTCTCTTACAGGGTATAAGCAAGACCCCTCTAGGGAACTTGAACCAACACCCTTCAGCATACACGGCCTTTGGTGACTCTGTTTTGCAGATAGCTTCTAAACCTGAGTGTTCCACCTCCCCTGTAACCCCACCCCCGGCAGAGATGGGCACCACGTTCTTCCAAATATTTATCCAAGAAGACAAACTGGAGGAGTGAAGCGTGCAAAGCATTCATGCTTTAAGGGGCGGGGGGCTGAATCGCCCTCTTGTAGATCTCAGTGTGACCACATCCCAGGCCGGGTCAGCTGTGATCTGTCAGGTGTCTCTGGTGTCACCCTGAGCTGGGGCCTCAATACACCATATATTTGAAGGCACCGGCAGTCAAGCTCCCCACAAGTTTTTGGATTATAGTACAGGCCCCAGCACCGGAAGGTCATGGGTTCAGTATTCCAACATCGATTTTGGGAGATTTATCGTCTGTGAAGTTTTGTAGTGTTAAAGTAGTGTAGAGTACGTTTCAGACAGGATTTACTCTGCTGTTCTCACATCCAGGATAATTTAATACAAAACATGAACCCAGCAGTTATATAGGGCAAAATAGTACTCTTTTCTTCTTGGCTGCTATTCTTATGTTTGGATGGGGTCACGTATCGGATTTCTATATTCGCCTCACTGTTTTCTAATTGCCAGGCTGATAACTTTTGTTGGTATTTTAATTAGGTGCTTAAGAAGGTGGGTGATGGAAAATATGCGGGGTTTAATTTAGGTTGCTATTCTGGTTTCTATATAAATGTTGACCGTAATTGGCGGCGAGGTGACCACAGTACATGGGGATATCCAGCTCTATGTGCATAAACACCCATCCAGCAAACGGCTTAGCATTTTAGTGTTGGAGAGATTGCAATTGCAGCTGGCCAGCCTCGATGGTCGTTTTGTACTTTTGGTTAAACTGGAAATATCTTGGCATTTGAGCCCATTCTCTCTAAACAAAATGGGAAATGGCAGAGCTGAAGACCCAGGCTTCTCTGCCAATAAACGATAACATTTTTTTTTTTTTTTGCCTGTCTGAAACCCCCCCGGGGATTGAAGATGTGTAAGAAAGCCCCCGTTACTCCGCTCCCCCCCCCCCACTCCCCATGTTTGCGTGGCCCACTTGGATGGCACTTCACTTCAGCCGCGTTATAATTAGATTGACTGTAATCGACAGTGTTTGCACTAGGCAGTCCCCAGATTACCTGCAGCTCAAGGGGTGGCTGGGGGGGGGGGACAAGCATCAGGACAGTGTGAGTCACAGGACAGGGACAGGCAGTGGGACAGAGAGGGGACAGTGGCGGGGAGGGGTCTGTGGGTCAGAAGGCCCCCCCTGCTGGTTCTGATTGTGCTGTGTCCTTGCTGTAGGGTCCTTAAAAGCTCCCCCCCCCAAAGCTTTTAAGGGTACTACTTTTGTGCACATGCTTTTATATGATGTCCCTGAAAAATGTCATTCGGTATTTTGCTTCATAAATTTTAGTCGGACCCTAACCCTCACTTTACACCTGCTTATATCTCAAAGAGACTCAAAATAGTATTTTTTATTATGCTTGTTTCTTTGTGCTGCTCTGGACGCTTCGCCTTGCTTCATTATTTTGGAGCCTTGAAAAACAGCCGCTCTCATTTCCTCACATGTTGTTTTTAATGCTCCTTTGTCCACCCCCCTCCCATCCCTGTCCCTGTCGACCAATCCCCATTTAAAAGTGCCCAACAAAGCACCACATTGCCAGTGCAGGATCACATTTATCTTGCTCCCAACAACCTCTGCAGACAGCGAAAGCAAGCCGGCCCTATATCGCTCTTCCTTTGTCCACGAAGCTCCTTTTTGATTCACAATGCAACTGATAATCCTTTGTCTCACCCGGAGCCCGGATAGTTCTTCTCTTTCACAAACACGCACACATGCGCGCACACACACACACACGCACACACACACACACACACACACACACACACACACATATATACCGTCAAACAGAAAGTCAGGAAGCCAGCCACTATGGCAACTGTTGTCAGGCCACTGTTACCTTGACAACCTGGCTAGAGGTAAAACTCGAGGGAAGAAAGGAGTTATGGAGAGAGAGAAAGGGAGAGAGAGAGACAAGGGAGGTAGATAGAGGACCAGACAAAACAGTGAGGAAGGAGACGGCAGAAGGAAGGAGCGAGATTTGAAAAACAGTAAGAAGCATCAGGTTTAAAGAAGGTAAAAATTTTAAGATGAAAGGAAAGCTTGCCACTCAAAGCTCTTTAATGACTGCTGTGTAACTTCCAGAAACATCTAAATGTAGAACGGCGGGGTTTTGTTTTTATTTCGGTTTATCAAGCTTGCCAGCGAACTGGGACTCTGGGCTCCCGGCTTTGTGCCGATTCGCACTGAGCTCGTCCGCATTTCCACATACCTCTGTCCCGGACAGCCTCTCACCGTCTAGCAGGACCAAAGCAACCAGGGAACTATCACGTGCCAAACGGGGAACACCTCCGTTCCTCACGTGACCTTGAGCGGGCGGGAGCTTGACTGTCAGGGAGTTAGAAGAAATAGAAGGTCTGACAGCAACCAATGTCATTCACCCCCCATCCCAGCACCCCCAGAGTGGATGTCGGCTAATCATGGAGAACCAAACAAACCTAAAAGAGGCTATTCAGACCCCCAGCCTGTGTAAGGGCCAAGATCGGGTCGCATGAGGCCCCTGTTGCAGCCGGTAGCATCGGTTCGCAGTCTTACCTCAGACTGAAGAATCCCCCACAATCCTCCAGGCTCAAATGCACATGAAGCCCATGAGTTACCTGAAGCAACACAAATGAGAAGGCAGTCACTATATGTCACCTTTGCTCGACATATGTTGTCATTGGCAACACCTGTTTGGCAAACACTCACTCAGAGCAATGTGTACAGTCTTCGGTCACACTGCACTCAGTTATAAAGATAGATCCTTGTCGGAGCAATTCAGGTACATTTAAGTACTTCCCTCAAGGGTATAATTACTTGCCCTTCCTGAGGTTCAATGGCCGCCTCTGAATAGCCGGGTCCTTTAACTGCCTCAGTACCCAGCCCCTAATGGCCCCCTCCATTGTCCACGTTCTCCATTCTTTAGTAGGTTTTACGCCCGACGCTACGTAAGAAAGGGGCCTGAGAATTATTAAAATCCTGTGTAGGAAGCGGAGGGGCTCATGTGCAGTGATAAAGGCCCCCCCCCCAGGTAGAGGAGGTGTGCCTGTTACGGCCCTCGGTAGCCAGCACACCACACAGGGAAGGCCTGGGGGGGGGAGGAGGAGGGTTGTGTGTGGGGGGGAGCCGTCTTCCCCTGCTTGTCCTACTCTCCCCCGCAGCGTGGGTGATGGTGCAGTCCCCACAAATACGGAAAACAATGCAGTAGGAGGTGGCGGGATACTGGGAATGAACCAAAGTTTGGAAAGGGCGGGGAGTGGGGAGGGCATAATCTCCAATGCGTTTAAAAATAAAAGCAATATGGATCACCGCTACATTAACAAGGAGAATATTAAGGTCACAGCGTGATAGAGCAGCGTCAAGTTAAAGCTGTACCACAGTAACATGGTTGTAGGCAGGCCTCCGTTTCTTATCCCGGTCTGTTCTTGTCTGAAATAGATTAATGACTAAAGTGATGTAACTTAGACATTTTAAATGTCAGTAAATGTAAAACTTGAGTAAGTTCCGTTAACAGGCATGTCATTTGTGCAGAAGTAACTGACTGATCTCGTAGGCTGAGTACTTGCCATTTTCTGCTGGAGATGCCCCTCTCGCTGGCGTTTGTGCGCCGCGGACGTCGTGTCTGATTGTCCTCCTGCTCTCCTCAGCAGATAATCAGCACCATGGAAACTCAGGTGTCCAACGGTCCGACCGGAAACAGCCTCCCCAACGGCCCAGTGATCAGCACCAACGGCTCAACAGACGACAGCAAGACCAACCTGATAGTGAACTACCTGCCCCAGAACATGACCCAGGAGGAGTTTAAGAGCCTGTTCGGCAGCATCGGGGAGATCGAGTCCTGCAAGCTGGTCCGGGACAAGATCACGGGTACTGCTTCTGAAATGTGTCTAGGCTCACCAAGCATGCTTTTCAGTCACTGAAAGGGCTTCTCACTGGGTGTTATTCTGATGCAATTAATGATTCCTAACTCCTTAAAAGAAATAATTCCCACTGAAAGGTTCCTCTTCTAGAAAATCCGCTGTAAATGGATAAATGCATGCATTCCCAAATCATGTTCAAATGGATGTGCAACTGTAAATTATAGCCATTGCTGGCATTCTGCATAAAACATCCCCACAAAAGAACGGCTGAAATCCAGCATGACAGACACTATGAATTATGGACTGAACCAGAACTTCCGCCATTGCAGGTCAGAGCTTAGGCTATGGATTTGTGAACTACGTCGACCCAAACGATGCCGACAAGGCCATCAACACCCTCAACGGACTCAAACTGCAAACGAAAACAATAAAGGTGAGGAGATCTCTGCCCCTATGCACCCCCCACACCCCAAGCCCCCCTGCTCTCGGGGGGGGGGGTCGGCCGTGAACAATGGCATGTGCAGCAGGCTCATGTGAGGGAGAGAAAGGGATTGGGGGGCTGTGGGAGGAGGGACGGGGGGGTGGGGCAGAGTTGGGGGGGGGGAGATGTGTGACTGCTGAATGAAAGGAAGTGTGAAGAACAGAGGGAGAGAGAAAGAGGAGTCAGAGGGCAGGAGGTTGGCGGCATAGAGGAGCGATTGTAATGGAAATGTAATTAAAGCAAGTCGCTGTGGGGCGGCAGAGTCATCGCTGCCTGAACCCCATCTGCCTCCGATGTGGGATAATTAGGGAACTCCTTTGTCCTGAACCGGGATCGGAGGTCGCCGCTCTCCCCCTGGGGTTCAAAGGGAAGACAGAAATCAGACAGGAAGATTAAACCATCCCGTTCAAAAGCCCCCACTCTCCTTCACCATAAAGGTGATCAAAGCAGATGAAAATGCTAGAAGAGGTAACGCCGGGCGGCACGTAGTGATTGGCCAATGTCTCCTGACCAGGAGTGACCAGCATGCTGTGATTGGCTAATGCAGCCTGACCATGAGTGACCAGCATGCTGTGATTGGCTGATGTGGCCTGACCATGAACGAACACTGCGTGACGATTGGCTGATACAGCCTGACCGCGAGTGGCCAGAACGTGGCGATCGGCTAATGTGTCCTGACCATGGGAGTCGTAAACGCAGCGCATAGCTGCTGAGGACGGTTCCCTCAGTGACAAGCGTGGACCTGTGAGCTGGGGGGCGCTGTGTTCCACACAGCTGGGGTGAAGGGGAAGGAGCACGTCTTAATGACTGCTGGGCTGCTGGCGGGGGTGGCAGAGCTGGGGGGGGCTCTTTCACAGAGCAGAATGCCCATTACAGGATTAAAGACCATATGGGCCCCAAGCACCATCTGTACCATGGGGAGGGAGAGAGGGTTAATAACAGGGCATCATCCCCAAAGCGCTTGCCCCCACCCCCAGTGTCTTTCACCTCCCCACCCCCACCC